CTCGCATTACTTCATTTTTCTCATGGATTTTCATTTTAGCTCTGCCCTCCCTCCCTGCCGTTCAGCCAGAACTGTTTGTAAATTAAAGCCACTTGGCCTCCTGACCCAGCTGCTGCTGCCCTGGCCTTCCACTGGTGTCTCACTGTGGAAAACCATGTGGGACTCTGCACCGTTGGAGACATAGTTTTGGCCCTGGTGGAAGAAAACATTAAACATTGTGTGATGGCTGCAAGACATCCATCATTCTGCTTCTGGCCAGCAGCACAATCAGGCAGCTCTTTCCTTCGTTCAGCCAGCTGTGAGCCAGTGAATCATCCATATTCCTGACAGCTAATGTGTCTTCTTCACAAGCCTCCGTATCTGGGTCTGTGTTTAACTGTGTGCAGATGGACTCACACTGAGACTCAGTCGCTAAAACGCCTAGCACACATGCCAAGGAGCATGTTTAGATTCCACTTTCTAGAAGGAGAAAAGATTAAATTCCTACCCTGCCAAGCTCTCATCCATCCCATTATGAATCATGAATAAGTCAGTGAAAACATCCAGACTCGTCACTGATGTGTTATCATGGAAATTTGGCCACCTCACACTCAGCAGTCTGGTGTTGGAACATCATGCAGTCATTACTTTTAAGTGTGTGTGTGAGTGTGTATCTTCACATCTCTCCAGCAGCAGCCCACAGTGTCCAGGCATTCACCAGTGTGAGAAAACCTTTTCCCCTGGTTCTGGTATGAAGAGCTGCAGCACATTCACACAAATCTGTTCAGATGTTTTTATCTGACACAATTCTTCTCTTTTGGTTTTTGATACATTTATGGGAGGTATTATTTATTTTCCAGGAACATAGTTCCATTTTACAGCACAATAAAGTAACTATCCTTAAGTTGTTATAAAAATGTTGCATATATAACTTAAAAGAAATTGGACTTCGTATTTTAACGCATTGAAATTTAAAAACTCCTGCTTGCTCTGAAACTCCGCCTTCAGGAAGTCAACCCAACATGGCTCCTGTATTAACCCTTTACAATGTTCTTACCAACATTGAGAAGTAGCTAGACTGTTCGTGGTCAGGTCAGGTTGACTGTAGCTAATTAAAGCATCAAAGGGACTTTTTACATCTCCAAGATCTCTGCTCTCCTCTCAGGCCTCTTTGACTGTACAGATCAGGACGCTCTGGTATTCAGAAACTGCTTGAAACATAAACATAGTGAGAAGTAGTCTTGTTTTCTGATTGGATCAAACCATTTTCCTTTGTTCATTAGATTTGTTAGGTCTGGACTTTGACTAGGCCATTCTGGGAGTGTATACTCTAAAGTTCCAGCTTAATTGTGGTTTCGGAGAAACAACATTCACAACCACCAACATGTTCAATGGTTGGGTTAAAAACAACTTTTCAGTAACGTTGTGCAGTAGTATCATTCTTTACTGCTTCATGTTGGTCTATCACACAAAACCCAAGAAATACACTCAGGTTTGTTGTCATAATGCAATAAAAAGTTAATGAGGTGTGAATACTTTTGCAAGCTACTATAAATGTTTGGGTATCTGATAGAATGACAGGCTCTGTGCTTTTCAGCTCTAGTTATACTGTTTCATATAAACAAGTTGAATCTGGAAATGGATAACGGCAGATTATGGCATTAGTCACCATATATTGTTGCTTCTTTGTGTGCAGATGAATAGTGTGTTATCTGAAAAGAACTCGATGCCTCTGTTCTGTCTGCCTCGCTGTGTATTCATGCTGTTCTCTGAAATCTGAGCTTGGGGATTAGCTGCATTACACCATAAAAACCTCAGCCACAGAGGCTTTCAAACGTCTGTGAAAGCTTTATTTCCCAAATGTGCTACTTTCATTTTGTAAATATAAAAGCTTGGCTTGAATGTGAGGCAGAGTGGCTGGCCTTCACAGAGATGCTGAGATTAGAAAACAAAAGGAAGATGCTGAACAGGAGACGATGAAAAAAGACGTGTCTACTTCTCATTTCCATTCATGAATCATTTCACACAAACATGCAATGCTTGGGAAGCTCAGCAACTAAAAAAAAATAAATAAAAAATCAAGAATAGTTCTGTATATTTTTCTTATTTCCCATTTTCTTACAAGCCCATCATGATAGTAAGCAATAAAAATGATCTTGGGGTGGCTAAATATTATCCAAAAACATTTTAGTTCCTGGTTCCTTTGACCCAGTTTAGACTTTTCTTACAGTAAATAACTTTTTAATGGATTCAGTTAAACAGAATCAGTTGGAATGAAGCTCTTTGTGCAGAAACTAATAGTGAGCATACGATACATCTGATGCATCATTATCTGAAGTGAAAAATCTCAACGGGAAAGTGGTTTTCTTTTTTCAAATTATATGTAAAGGACCAAAAAGTCAGCATTTTCTAATAATCTACACATTAATGTGGTTTATGGACTACTTTACAGAACAAAGCACCAAAAACATGAATTACGTTTATTGTGTAGGCCATTATTATACTGAAATACCAGAGTACCAACATGACACACCAATCCTCTGACCCAACATGTCATAAGTGAGTGAAGGTCCAATAACCTTCCACAGACCAGCTGGGACTGTGAGGTAACAGCGTCTGGTCATAAGTGTTCATCTCCTTGTTAATACTTTTTGACAAACTGCAATGTATTTTACTGGGACATTATTCAATAGACCAACACAAAGTAGACCACAGTCATGAAGTGATTCAAAGACTAAATGGTTTCAAAAGTACTCTGAAAAGTTGTTTGCATTCATCCATGAAACAAGATGGTGGCAGTATCCTGCTGTGGGGAACTGTTGTCTCCATGGCAACTTCCATCCAATCTGACTGAACTGGAGTTGTTTGGTGAAGAAGAATAAACAAAAGTTCTACAAAAAATGTAGAGATCCCCCTGCAGGCCTGCAGCTGGAACTACAGGCAGACATGGCTACAAGAATAAAAATGCACATACATTTTGCAGATTTTTTATTTATAAAATCTTTCCACTTCACAATGATGCATGACACTGTTTGTCTTTTGCATAAAACTCTAATAAAATAAATGAAAGTTGGTGGTAAAATGTGGAAAAGTTCAAGGAGTGGCAATATGTTTAGGATATACAGTGGAAACCAGATACTTCCATCCACTGCATAAAAACACATAACCTGTTCTCTGTGACTCACATGTAATCAGACCAAACTTTTTCTATTTCACACTAGTTAAGCTTAATTAAAAGTCATTGTAAATGTCAGAATAATGAGAAATGTGTGTTTAGATCAATCTTTATCACTTTATCCAAATTCTGAGGTTTCCATAGACCAAAGCAATACTTACTTTACATTTGGTAGACTTTGTTAAACGTTTTAATTCCCTTTCACAAGCTTCTCACAGCGGTTTGCTGGAAACTGGACCCATTCCTTCTGACAGAACTGGATCAGGTTTGAAGGCCTTCCTGCTCAAACAAACATTTTTATCTCTGACATCCTCTGGGACTGAGATCAGAACTTTGTTGTCCTCAAGTCACATTGTAGCCAATCTGATGGTACACTGAGGATTACTGTCCGTCTGGGAGAGCCAATTGTGTCAAAGCTGTAACTTCCTCGTTAATCTCTAAAGATGTTGCTTCAAATTTTTCATGCAACGTTCTTTCCTCGTTATGTCATCTATTTTGTGAAGTGCACCAGTTCCTCCTGCAGCAAAACACCCCCCAAATACACAATTGGGATGGTGTATTCTTCCAAGTGTAATCCTTGTCATTATGTCCAAATAGTACAATTTAAGTTCCATCAGACCACAGAAATGAGCATCTTTGTTACCAAGTGCATTTGCAAACTGTCTGGCATTTAATGTTGCCTTTAGACTGATGACTTCTTCCTCTCTCAGTGGCCTTTCAGCCCATGTCGGTACAGACATCGCTGTGGATAACCAGCCTCAGGGTCATCTTAACAAGGTCTAGCTTTGGTTCTGGAGTTCCCAATGCAGTTCATACCTGCAGATAACTGAGCAGATGAACTTGGAACCTTCATGTGGATTCGGATGCAAAAATTCCTTAAAATACATTCACAGTTGTGCCTTTGTTTAACCCAAATTAGAGGCTTACATCATCTTCTAGGTCCGGGGTTGTCAAATCCAGGCCTTGAGGGCCGATGTCCTGCAACTTTCAGATGCGTCTCTGCTTCATCACATCCGAGTCAAATAATGAGGTTGTTAGCAGAACTGTGGAAAACTTGACTGCACACTGGGGAGGAAATTCAGTCATTTCATTAAGGTGTGTTGGACCAGGAACACATCAAAAAGTTGCAGGACGCCAGACCCTGATGCCTGGATTTTAAGACCCCTGTTTTTCCTGTTAGACTAAAGTAATATTATTCTTAGTGTGTGTAAACCTTTGAATTTCAAGAAAGCTACAAAAAATCTCTCATTATTGTGGCACCTAGCAAATAGAAATAATTTAGGTAATACTAGGTGATATAAAACAGGGAAAGATTAGTCAGATCTAAAGTTCCACAGAGATAAAAACAGTTGTGTGTTTTTGTACAGGAGATGTAGAGATGAGGTTTTCACCACATCCAAGTCCTTTGGCTGTAATGGAAGCTGCTGCAGAGATACGAGGGCAAATAACAGACAAGAGCCAAGGATGTTCAGCAATCTGCTCTCAACACATCCTCATACGTACTTGGATTAGGCCGACCATGAGGATGGACGTCAAGGGAACTCTACGTGACTGTGACATTGTCTGCATCACATTGATGTAAGGCACCTTCCTGAGAGCTACCTGTCACGCGTTTTCCAGTAAAGTGTCTGAGCACATACAGTACGAGAAGTCAGCCAGCACCAGTCTGGAGTCATCTTCAACAGGACTTCATGGACATTTTAAAAAGAGACAAACTAGAAAACATGACAATATAAAAAAGACCTGAATATTCTAGAAAGTAACAGTCTTTTGGTTTTAAAAGAAAATTTTTTTTGCATATGAACAGGCTCAGAGGAAAAAAAAAACACTCAAAAAAAAAATATATATATATAAAAAAAAGGTTCAAACAGTAACGATGTGACTGAATTCAGATAAATAAAAATGGAAAAAACTATAAATTTGAGTGGTTTCATACGTCACGGCATTTGTCATCTGCAGTTCTTATTTTAGGGTTCAGTGTTAAGGGAAAAGATGGGACTCCCCTGCTTTTGATAAAGTGATGAAATTTCCATGATAGTAGCAGGAGCAGCAGCTTTAGAACTCAATACGTCCATCTATCAGTCGTCCTTAGAAGTTTTTGAAGATCTCCAGGTCCTTCGGAGGCACAGGGGGGTCTTTCTTCCAGTCGTCATCCGGATACATGTCAAAGTTGGATGTATCGCCCTCATGAGACACTTTAGGAACTATTGGAGGCTGAGGATGCAGGAGAACAGAATGAGAACAAGCTTGGTTTAATGGTTAGCGACCTTCAGCTCAGGTTCACTACAGCAGGACAGTGATCCGAGGCACAACAGCTAGTCCACCTCAGAATGGGTAGAAGAAAAACAAACCACTAAAGAAAATGGTCTAGTTAAAGTCTGGGCCTTCCAGTGTGACAAATATGTTTTGGGGGCAATTACTATTTCATATGAAAGCAGGTGTGAAGTTAGCTTTTTGTATTTATTCAGGTTGTCTTTGTCTGATTTTACCAGTAGCTCAAGTATTTATTTCAAAATCAGTTCCTGTTTTGTTTGTGAACTGAAAACGTCAAAGTACCTCGATTTACAAACTGCATTGAAAAGCAACATGAACACATGAGAATGATTCAGTTCTAAACAAAAAAGTGAGGCTCTATGAATGTCCGTAACCAAGTCCACTAAGAGTCGGCCGAACTGGAGCCTCACTAGCCGTCAGGTTCTTTCAGAAGAACAGCACAATGAGGCGGCAAAGCTATAAAATTTCCCAATAAATTATTGTGTTCTATTTCTGTGACAGGAATGCACTCATTCAGGCCAACAGTGGGGCTCAGAGATTGGGTTAGGTGCTGCAGACCTTCAGGCCATCTCTGCCCTCTTATCAGGCAGCCAGAGCAAACATTGCTCCAAAGGCTGTAATCCACCCAGAAAGAGAGGTTACAGCTAAGTCATCTTGAACCTAAGGCTGTCCCTCTACACGGCCTACTTTGGTGGAAGTTGTAGCAGAATCAGATCTGACATTGTTTAACATTGTCAGAGCAGCAGGGAGTCTATCATACAGCTGCAAAGGAGAGGAAAGATCTTCAGTCCTGTTTCCAGGAAGAGGCTGAGCTTATATTAATGCCGAGCAACTTCCACATACCACAGAGAGCAGGAGGAAAGTGCTACATGTGTGTAAGATAAGATATGAAATAAAATATTTGGATAAACTGTCCTTATTACTGTGCTCTGTACTGAGCTGAATAGGTTCCCATTACATGCAACAATCGCCATTCATTGCAATAAGAGACTCTCTTAGGGTTTCTACACATTTTCAAACCCTCCGTTCATGAGTTTTCTAAATACAAAGTTTCTGCAGACGACAGGTTTTAGTTAAACATTGAACTGAGATGGACGTATGCATGTCCCCAATCCATTTTTTAATACCTAGAATTGAAATATGCATAAATGCTTCAAATGTCACTAGACTGCAAAGAAAATCTGTTCTCAGTCTGAATTGTGACCATGAGGCAAATGTTCGTTTCAACAGGGGGTTAATAATAGATAACTGCACTTTAAAATCTCTTCCTCACTTGCTCTTTATTAATTTCCATTTGGCAGGATGTTCCTGGCCCAACTTATAAAGTTTTATTGTTGGACATTAAAAGCACAACAGTCAACTAAGCTGTTTTTTCCGTCACATCAACAGTTGGTTGGGGGCTTGTCCGGGATTCTTGAGTGTGTAAAGCCACAGCCTTAAAAAAGTAAGAAGGTGTGTTTTGGTGGCAACAAGAGCCTAACAGAAAGACTCTTTAACACGTCGAGTTGTGAACACCTTTCTGTCACACCAAATCAGACAATCAGTTTTGAAGTCCGTTTCATGTAGTTTACTCTGGAACCTGTTCAAATTGTTTTGCTGTCAATAAAAACTGAGGTCAACTGATATTTTTGGTTTTCAATTTTATTTTATTTATTTATTTACAGGACAGACATACCTTCAAGCAGCACACTACTGTGTTCAGAAGTTGACAAAAACTTGGACCTTGCTGTTTGTCAGAGCTACAGCTTACTAGACTGTAGTAATCTACGTCTACAGTCTAGTAGCTACAGATTAGCTTCTAGACCTATACCTAACCTGTAGATCTGGAAGCTGCAATTCCAGCTAATGTAGAGCTACTAGTTGTGAAAGACATCACAACTACCAGTTAAAACAGTCATATTCATATGACTGTTTTAACTTTATAAAGTTATATTTTACATTTATATTTTATAGTCAATAGTTATTTTTAAAGGATAAAAGTGCTTAATCTCAAGCTAGGTAGCAAAGCCTTAATTAGTTAGCTTTAGGTTAGCTAGTAATAGCTTCCCATTGATGTTGGGTTTCACCCCTAAATTAAAATTTTAAAATATATTAATAAGGTTTGAAGTTTGCATTTTTTCCTAACCACTGAGCACTGTTATGTTTAACTTTTACTTGGTTTACTTTCAGGTCCTTTGTGGTTATGAGCCTGGCTGGTTTACACAGAACCAGACCAAGAAGATACACAAGAAACACTGACTAGCAGACTGAAAAGACACAATGTCATTTTAAGAAGTCTCTAAGCAGAATCTAGCACAAAAATTAAAACAAGAAAAGAAGACATTACATAGTCATCATGCAAGTTCCAAACTGCTCCCCTGGACAAGTTGGTTTTAACCTTAAAGGTTCTTAAGAATATATTTTTTGGGAACAAACCTACCTTCAGTTTCCTCAGAGGAACAGCTTCCCAGTCCACAGTCTTGAACCATCTGTGTTTTTTCACATCATCCGCTCCATTCTGAAACAGGAAACAGGGAGGTTCATAACATGACACTGTACTCACATCTGTAAGCAGCAGTGTACGAGTTGACATCTAACAGCTGGGCTGATGGGTTAATCCAAGAGCCAGAAGAAAGGCATAACATAGTCATACAGCAAGTTGAAGGAGCTGACACACCAGGTGAGATATCACAGGCCATATGAAACATAGAATCAGAACAGAAATTCTTTAACTGACCTTATGCTTTTCCTAATAGACACTAATAAGGCTACATTTATTTTCTGTGATGCAAATTTCTTGAGATGCCTAAAAACTAGATCTTAAAGTTTCTAACTGCATCAGAGATGCAGTTAGAGATAAAAAGACATGGGCATGTATTTTTCAGACCAATACTGAATCTAAATAGGGTTAGGGTTGAGCTCCCCGGAGGTCCCAGAGCCCCGGTTGTTTTTGACCAGGGTAAAGCGGGGTCCCGGTAACGGAACCCCGGGAACGGAACCTCCTTGAGCGGTCCCGGTTCCGTAGAACCGGACCCGGACATACGGAATCATGGGGTGGTGCACCCAAATGTCTGCCTTACGTAAGGAGACTTCCAGGGGTCGCGTCTGGCAGGCACTCGCTGCATCCTGTACTTTAGCGGTTTCGAGACAAGGGAGGGGGAGAAGGAGAAGCAGAGCGAGCGACGGAGACAGACGTTCTCACATAGTCCCTTCCTTTCTTTCCGCTCGTCTTCAAATGCTAAAAGCGGCTCGATTAGTCTCGCGGCTGCGGCCACGCTCGACGCCGGAGTCCCCGAACAATTACGGCACCAGCTGAAGCGGGAGCCGGAGCTAGCACAGTGGACGACTATGAACTGGATCCTGTACTTTAGCGGTTTCGAGAAAAGGGAGGAGGAGAAGGAGAAAGCGGCACAAGCGACGGAGACGGATGTCCTCACATACTCCCTCCCTTTCTTTTTGCGCTCGTAACACTAGCTGATGTTGAAGAAAAAGTACCCGTGGTGCTTTTTGAGATGGAGCATCATCAGCAGCAGCAGCATCTCCTCCTCCTCGTGCACCTCGTCCTCTTCCCCGTCCTGCTTCCTCATTTGTGGAAACCGAGAAATTAAATCGCCAGACTACAGGAGACACGTTTGATAAATGGCCGCCTGCCGAATGATGTCGCAGTTTTTGCTATTCCACCAAGCTAAAGGAGCCACGCGATTGACAACCAAAGCTGGAATCGAATAAAACCAAACCCTCCTTTGGACATTTGTAAGCATGAGGCCATGCTTCCACATGTCTGCCTTACCAGGAGCACGGGCCATAAGGAGACGTCCAGGGGCACCGCCGAACGGCTGAGCGTCTGCCCGGGTTCGCTGCTCAGAGCCGGGTAGGGGCTGAGCCATCCACTGGAAGGGTTCAGCCATTCGGTGGAACGGGACTTTGCCGTTTCAGCAAAGTCCCCTATTGTGCGACAATGGAAATAGGCTCGTTGCCATAGGGGATCACGAGCGTACGGTCCTTTATGGCGCAGGGCCTCCCGAGCCAGGCGGGCTCCGGAGAAGGTTCCGGCCGTTTTCGTTTATTCCCCGGGGCGCGCCGGACGCGCCGAGCCCGGCGGCTTTCCGGACGCGGCCCGGGAGCCCCCGTGAAGCCCTCGAGGAGACGGGCCTCCCGAACGGCAAAGGCCCCATGGAAAAGGATGTCCGGATGTCTAGAGGCTTCCCTATGTCCGAAGTGCCTCCATATGTCTGCGGTCGGCCAAAAAAGATAGAAAAGGCCTGAGCAGCTTGTGGGAATCGTACCCAGGTCGCTGGGGGGGGCGCCGCAGTAGATTAACCACAAGACTACTCGAGCCATACGGGTTTCCTCGGCTCATAGCGCTTATGACCTCATAGCGAGTAATGTGGACATGGTGCAGCACCTGGTGGTGCTGCCTTATTTCCGCCATTGAGCAGCACCACGTGGTGCCACTGTATGTCATGAATGAAAAAGAAAGAGGACAGGAGCCGTTACACTCTTCGCTGTTCCACAATCATTGAAGCGGAGCTCCAAAATGACCCCTAAACTATCGGAGCCACACAATTGGCAACATTTTGAGCTAAAACAAATAAGAAAAAAAAAACAAAAAAAAAACAAGAGGCTTCCTGCAGCCAGCGGGAGGCAAACCCGGGTCTCTGGGGCGGAGACCGGGCGGCTAAACCGCTAAACTACAGGAGCCATGTGGGTTGCCTCGGCTCATAGCGCTTATGACCTCATAGCGAGTAATGTGGACATGCGAAAGCACCAGGTGGTGCTGCCTTATGTCAGCCATCGAGCCTTTCCAAGATTGTGTACATAAAGGGTTCCCTGCGCGGGCGGGGTGCGACCCCGTGCGACCCGCGCGGTAGCGCGGCAACCGGACCACTTTGCGAACCGATATAAAGACAGGCGGGGCAAAGGAGGGGTTACGAGGGCGGGGGGGACCGACAGACAGTCGGAGGCATGAGGTGCTGCTGCCAGATGGCTTCGGCGCGACACCGTGCGGTGTCCCCGCGCGTTTTGGCAGCATTCGCCACCGGGAGGCCTCCCTGCCGTTCGGGTACGTTAGCCACCGTGCAGCAGGGAGCCATGCACCCAACCGTCCTGCGCCACCTGGTGTCCGTTGCCCGCAAGTGCCGTTTTGAGCCACCATACGGAAGCACTCGAAAAATTTCAGTGTTTTTGAGAGACTCTGCGATTTTCGGGCGGCCGGCGTGCGGCCTGCGCGCGCTCTAAAAATCGGGTCTCGTTGGAACGGAGTCCTCCGGGTCGTGCTCTTTCGAGCGCCCCGGGTCCCGCGGCCCTACGGTGTCCGGTTCGGCCGGTACGATTTTTCAAAGTGGGCCCAAAATGCACCCTGATGGCTGATAGGGGGGGGGGGGGCCCGCTAACTAACTTTAGGTCAGTTAGGATTAACAAGATTATTTCTGTTTGCTAAATGCCAGATTTTTTTTTCCTTTCATTTTTAAAGATCAGAGGCTTACAATACTGTGCATCTCAACAATTTAGGAAATCCCATATGATTATGTCATTATTTTATGACATAGGTGTAGGTTACTTTACATCATTGGAGTTAATAGGGACACACTTGAGTGTGTAATTTAAGGCAACACCTCAAACCCACCGATTCCTTGTATGACATCATGGGAAAAAGATGATTTAATGTTGGAAAAAAAGTGGTGTCATTTTTATACAGTGGATGGAAATAGAAGGAAATTACTTCCAAAACTGTTTGACCTGGGTGCAAAGTTACAGGTGCAAAAGTTTGGATAACTACAAATGTATGTAATTAACACAAACTTATAAACTCACACGTTACAAAGTCAACCAATATTAGTAATTGATTTTTTAATTCATTGGATAGAAATAATGACTTTAACTATATACCATGATTTAAAATATGACAATATGACAACTGAACTGAGAAATTTAGTGAACTGTTTAATCTTCTGTTTACTAAAGCAACAATTTAATAACAAAGCAAACCAGATTGTAAAAGTCTGGCAGCATTGTTGAGCTTCTATGCATCAATAAGTGAGCGGTGTTAATGAGTGCTGCGACTCTTCTCCAGAGGCATCCTAGAACTCTCAAATCAATATCTTGCTGTCTGGGATTATGTGGAGTTAAGATGTGGCTTCAGTCAACCATTTGTTTTTTAAGAGCAGCTCCTCTCACTTTCATTAAAATACTCCACATATCCATCTGGAATGGAAATCTACACACTTCCATTTTGCCAGAGTTTGAATGAATGCAGCAGAAATGGACTGAAATCAGACAATTTCTACAGCTAATTGTCTGTAAGGATGACTTCAGGCATCTGGACGTCTGTGTATACCTTTGATTTTGGCTTTATTTTTCATGTACATAAACACTGACCTAAATATGATTCTGTTATTAAAGAAAACCCCAACATCCACAGACTCTTTCAGTTAATTTTTTTCTCAATTATTTCAAAGTTAAGGTCCAATATGGACCCACTGGGAAAAACTGGAGTCCCAAAGCCTTAGGAATAACTGTAACCCTTTCTAGACTCAACTTGTCTGTCATCTGCTCTTTTCACTTCTTTAATTTAACTTCCCTTTGGGATTAATTTTACAGCAAAATAAAGTTAACTATGTTACCCTTCAGTTGTAACAGTTAATAATTTAAATTAAATTATAAATAATTCAATCATAGTTAAATTATGAACAATTAACTTACTGTTTTGCATATAATAAATGCATTGATTATTTGGGAACTTATTCTTGTATTCAAGCGGGTTATTTTTGCTTAAAATGAAAATGTGTTTGATGAACACAGGCATTACAAAATAAAAACATAAGAAATCTGAAAGGAGGGTAATGCTTTGCATCCTTATGTTCTTGCAACCCTTCCCAGATTGCTGAGCAGCAGCAGTTCCTTCTTCATACTGACTGTACGTTCTCTAAAATTGATTTTTGGCCATCAGGCCTGATCGTTTGAATGAATTAAATGATGTTTCTCTCAGGAAATGTCATCATTTGCATTTAATTCACTCGTCTAGCCTTTTAAAATTGCAAAAACACAAGTCAGTCTTTTTGGTACACTTCCCCTCATTTGCGAGTAATTGGAACCATGTGGTGCAGCCCTTCCTGTACTGTCCTGGTCCTCAGACTGTTGACGTCAGGCCGTCTAGCGAAGGTATGAAACATAGCAAGCTGCCATGTGGTTCGGGGAGACGGGAAGTCTAACCAGCTCACCTTCATGTTGCCTAGCCGTCTGGCTCGGTCAATGACCAGAAATTTCTTGATGAGGTCTCTGGAGGGAGAAGAAAAACAAGTCAGTGAATCTACAGTGCAGAGTGTGTCTCTGAAGGACGGTTCCCTCTCAGACTGTCCTGATGTCCTCGCTGCACTATCAAAATGACAAATGGGTCCTTTTTTAAAGCAATTTGACAGCCTGTGAAAGAGGATGAAGGGTTGCTTCCAAAATAAAAAAAAAACTCCAATGAAGACTTGTGGAGGCATTAAAAGGTGGCGAAATGAAAATAACTCACAAAAAAAAGAAGCATGAAGTTTAGGAATGAAATGTAATTGCTGCTGCTGAGCGGCGAGTTCAAGATGAAGGTGTGTATCTCACATCCGATGAGCTACAGAACGCTCATAAAAACAGATGTTGACGCATCAGCTGTTTCTGAGTGTTTGTCTCACATGCCTGACACAGGCGTTACATTTTCATCTATTCCAAAAATATTTGTGGTTTTGTTTCTCGCTGAAATTCATCAGGACATTGTTGAGACATTAAAAGAAAAAGAAGAAAATGAGAAACGCAGTTCATTTTATGCCTTTTATCGCTCCTTTTGTTTACAGTGCTTCTAACATGGGAGCAGATGGGACATGTAATATCGCTCAGATATTTGGGAGTTTACCGTTGGAGTTGCGTTTGCTGCGAGTTATTCACCAAGTCCCAGTTTGCAGACGATGCAGAATGTTGCAGTTCTCCCAGCACGGCTCAGTTTACTGCTGCTTGGGATGAGACGGCCTAAACAAAGGATCAGCGCCAAACTCCAAATGAAACATGTTTTGTTACTTCCGTCACTTAGTGCTGGTTCAGTCTCAGTTTGATGTATATAATCCTGGAGCTCTCACGCTAAGTAGCTGACACTCTCTTGTGCGAGTGGCTTGAAAGGTTATCAAGGGTCATTCATGTTCCTGCTTTTCTTGCCAGGGTGGCTCAGCACTGCAAAGGTGAAATCAAAACATCCTGCAGGAAAATAATATATCCAGACTCCTAACTCCAACAGAAAGACAGACAGCTAAAGGTGGAAAGAGAGTAAGAAAGATAGATGCAGAAAGACAAAAAGATTAAAAGAAAGAGACAGAAATTAAGACCACAGGAAAGACGGAAAGAAAGACGAAACGCAAAGAGACAGAAATAAAGAATGACAGAAAAAAATAAATGGAAAGAAATACAGAGACAGAAAAACAGAAACAAAGAAAGAAGAAATCTATCAAAGAAAGAAAGACAAGAAATGTCTGTAAAATTAGAACTCTTTAAAATAAACTGTTCTTGTGAAATGAAACACCTGAATGTTACATATTTGACCAATGCAACAAACTGAGGTGCAGCTCCTCCATCCAGAGACCTGAGCTAAACTCCAGCACACACACATGACGAGCTGGAGGAGCTTAAAGGTTCGGCTCAATGCAGAGTCCACAAGTTCATAACAATGCTGCTAATAGAAGCTGACTTCCTGACTAATGCCCAGTCCTGCTGGCTTTTTTCTGTCTCTGTGATTATGCTGTGCTGCAGCAGAGGCAGTGTGCTGCCTGCAGCCTCTGGAAGGCCTCTTAATGCTTGATGGATGGGAGTGTGTGACGTGGAACTGTGGAAATGTGATAAAAATGTTGGAAATATAAAAAATCCCTCTGCCGGCTGTAAGATAGATGGCTTTACTAGGGACGGCTGTGAGCTGCTTGAATTATCAGGGGAGCTGCGTGTGGCTACTCCACAGTAACAGAGAGACAACACATACACTCACAGCAAGACCCCCGTCCTGTAATCTTGTACATTCCTGCAACTCAAAATTAGTCCGTGTGTGTGTGTGTGTGTGTGTGCGTGTGTGTGTGTGTGTGTGTGTCTTTGAGATAGGGCAGCAGCTCTGAACAAGTCAGGTGTGTCATTAGGGGCTCCACCCAAAGCTCTGCTTTAGCTGTAGGGTCCTTACTGAGCACGTACAAAGGGACGCTGGGACAATTAGAAACACTCAAACATGACGGGAGGTCAGAGGTGACTTCAGTAGGGACAGATAGAGAACAGCTCCACCTGTTGGTGAGTTTCAGCAGTGCCTGAAGGAACACTTCGCTCCGACTCTTTGCTGAACGTCACTAAAGTAGATCAGATTAGAACTGAGACCATCAGCAATGGTAGCAGATCATTTGCTGCGACGTCCCTTTAATGTAACAAACAAGAGTCCCTGTGGCCGATTCCTAAATGTAAAAAAAATGTCACTGATATTATACCTGAAAAGTCTGGAGAAACCTGAAAAGTCCCAGACACAAACTTCCCCTCCATTGAACAGAAAATTGTATTTTTCTCCAAGCCGCTTTGATGTGATTTGTGTTATTTCCAGGCACATAAAGTTTTAAATCAGAGACTCTCAAAGTGAGAGCTGGCTCTCCATGGAGGGCAGCACAGCTTCACAGGAGGAATAAAGATGAGGAAATACTACATTAGTTATCAAAAGAATATGTTTGCTGTGTGGCTGAAGAACTCAAGACAGACAAGTTGTGTTGAAATGTTCAAGACATTATTTGAAGATCTTAAAGCAGAACACAGTCATGCTTTCTGAGCATTCACTGATACTGTAAACAGATTGCAGGGGGGAGCGAATATTTCAGTGGCTCTGTGACTAGAGCTTACTTCACGTAGAAATCCAGATGGCGTGGGAATTCCAGTTTTCCAGACAGAATCTTCTGGTAGATTCCAAATGGATTGTCATCAAAGAAAGGTGGATACCTGTGGACAGGAAGAAAATGTTACTGAAGCACACTCTGGGAGGCTGCGCACACACAGCCATATTGTACAAACTCAGGTTGCAAAAAATTAGCATGATGCAAGATCAGGTAACAGAGCAGACAGAAGATCCTACCCACTGTGCTGCTTTAGTGTGACACATGAACAGGTCAATATTTAGAGTGGAGGTGGAGATAAGAAGTGATAAATCTCAGCTGGAGGCTGAGCCGCCTTTGTTCACAGCTTTTCTGACCGTCTTCTGTGTGTGTGCTTCAAACACCCACACGCCTCCTGCTGCTGCACTCCACTCAACGCTTTCCCAGCTCTCCTGTGCTTCCCTCTGCTCCGGTCTGGACAAGTCATTACCCACAAATTACATAATGGCACCAGCCTCTAAACACATTACACATGGAGCAGACAGGCGCATAATCGTAACAGCTTGTCACACGGTGCTTGCATTGCCCGTAAAGAACTCCAGAGTCTGCGGCGCAGGCGTGAGGGCATCTGGGATCTGGCTACGAGCCGCGGACTCCGCTCGTGAGAGAGAGAGCGTGTGTCTAAGTGTTGGTGTGTGTGTTTTCCTGATGCTGTAATTGCTCAGGAATCTGTGAAAGTGCGAACAATTGAGTAAAGTGTGACAGAATTAAAAAACGAAAAGAAAAAAAAAACAATGTCTTAAATTGACGCTTTAACACGTTTTCAAAGTACCACAGAAAAAAAAATAGAAAAAGATGGAAAATTTCAACAACAGTCCTTCAGTCTTATTAATGTGTCAGAAAACCTGCATATAATCTGTTTTATATTTTCAAGTCATGCTGGTTGTGTTAAATGAACATAGCTTAGATATGGGACAAGATAACATTTTTATCAAAACTTTTTTGAGAGCTGTCTTTTACAATAAATTAGCTTAAAGGGAAAGCTGGGACAACAAATATCTCAGTGGAAATTCAATTAAAATTTAATTCAAAAATGCCTTATTCCAGAGGAAAATGAAATGTTGCGACTGATATCATCCAAGTGTCTTCAAAAAGTTGAGGATGGTAATTCTGAGATGAATCTGAAGAGGCCTCTGGCCAAAGGCTGTTGCTCTATGTGACATGGTATTGGAGCTACAATAAAAAGACATCATTAGTGCAGCTGCACACCAAGTTAAACAAAAATGTTAATTAACATGATCTAATTGGTTCTAACAACATTTAGAACATTGCAGTCATATTTATGCTAGCCATGCCATTTGTTCAGCCTTCTTGCTGCCACTGATCATTAAACCTTTATTTTGGAAGAATAGGTGATGTCATACTGCCTGGAAGAGAGAAGTCTCTCTAAAGCAGCAGTTTACCAATTAAAAAATAAAGTCAGGATGATTACTGAACTGGTATTCTAAAAAGACATCAGCATCTAGCATTAGCAGTTAGCATGAATAGCAGAGTTAGCATTACATCTTCTTCATGAGTATATCCCAGAGAATTTTCCCTCTAAACTTAATTCCTTAATTCAACTAACTCCAAACCTAGGATGTTCCAGTACAGACAGAGGTGGAGAGATCAGACGAATAGAGTAAATGAACCTGAGTGAGCTCCGTTCGACCTTCAGCAGATGTACCGCTTTCCTTTGGAGCTGTAACAAACAGCAGACAAACTGTTTCCTACATTTCTTAGTTTTATTTTAAACTCATCATAGATGCAAAAAGTGGATCACGTTGAGTCTTCACTCAACAGCAACTTCTACAATAAAGAGTGTTGCTAGTGTAACAAGGTGTCAGAGTAATAAGACATAAAAAAGAAACAGTTTTTGACTATTTCTGACCGGCAACGTATTGGTCAGGGCAGGTTCAGATGAACGTTGGGTGATTTCTTGCCGTATCTCTCAACACAAGTAAAACAAGTTGTTGTTAGCTGGTTAAGTAGTTGTGCTATCTATACTGGTAACGCCTGCAGCTTATGGACATGCTGTTTGTGGTTTGATAACCGTATCTTTAAAGCTTGTGGTATGATAGTTCATATTCATTTGAGTGAATTTCTCCACTTATGTTAGAAATGAAAAGAGTTTGAGATGAGTCATAAAGGCCATTAAAGAGCAGGGTGGGGAAGGGCAGGCCTCTGCTCCTGCACTGCTGAAATCAATTAGGAGCCAGACTAATGAGTCACCTGGTGTGTTCTGAAACAAAACTCTAATCAATGTTTCAGTCAATCTGAACCTTCAAGTCTGTTCACTGAGAATGCCAACGAGCTCAGGTGTTATTATTCACTGGGAACGTTAGAAAGAACCCCGGTGCCTTCTAATGGGGATCAGCATCGTTGTTCTTCATCTGCTACAATGATTACCATTCACACATTCATTTGTTGCAGGTTGGCAGAACGCAGGAACACACTGAGACAATTACAACCTCAGGATTAATTGAATAATCCCTCTGCTCCTTCAGCACAGCTTTAGTAGTGCAGAGCAGAACTATTGTGTTGCTTTGAATCATTGGTGTCCAATTGTGTGCACCAGTGCACAGAGCTCATTTCATATTCCACTAATGTCGAAAAAACAGTTTTTGCAAATGTGTTATTTCCATTAAATAAGAAATTCAGTTAAAATCATGTTAATAAGTTTGTTTACACAATGTCAATAAAAATATGATGCACCATTATCTGTATACTACTTCCTGTCGTCTTTTTCTTCTTTTTTGCTAGTAGTACATCCAGTTCTTGATCACATGACTCGTGTGATGCTAAAAAAACTGTTTCCAGTGCAGTTTTGATAGAGCTTAAAAGCCTCCTCATCATGAGCAAAAACTCTTTAGAAAAAAACTTGTTTTTTTCTGACTTTGGCGTGTTGCTATTAAACAAATTTATATTCAAAAATCTAATTTGTGCAATTTTAAGGTCAATGGAAATGCAGCGAGTATCACTTTAATTCAGCACTGTTGTGCCGTCAGTACACTGGGGCACAAGAGCGCCCCCTTCTGTCCCACTTCAGACCGTTTCCCTGGACATTCCAGCACTTACCCAGCCAGCATCTCAAAGACGAGGATGCCCAGAGCCCACCAGTCCACAGCCCGGCCGTGGCCTTTGCTTTGGATCACTTCAGGAGCCAAGTACTCAGGGGTTCCACACAGAGTCCAGGTCCTGGGGGCCAGAAGAGACAAAATAACACAACAAAGTATGTTACAAGGTAAAAAACTGACACTATCGTGGTTTCTACTTTGTAAAGTATCTACAGCAGGGGTCCCCAAACTACGGCCCACGGGCCCGCCTCCACATTTGGTCCAGCCCCCTGAACAATTCCGAACAATTCCCTTCTCTGGCCCCCCACCAGAGAAGAGAAAAGTTATGTGGCCCTCACAGGAAAAAGTTTGGGGACCACTGATCTACAGTCACTGGTAATTTGGGGTGTCATGTTATCTGCTACATGTGAAACAAAATTACCAAGGTACACCATCCTGAAATGTAGATTATTCATGTGGTATAAAACGGCCCAGTAAAAGTCCAGACCGGAATCCAACTGAAGATGTGATACAGGACTCAAATATTGCTGTTCAAAGTTGCTCTCTAGTAGTGGGCAATATGGACTTAGAAATGTATTGCAATATCTTGAGGGACATAATCAACAATAAAAATTATGATTAAATATTTAAATGTATCACTTATTTTTTTAGGTAGGCTGTGACTATATGGCAAAGAATTCATAGCACCACAGACAAATATTCTTAAAAAACATTCCCATAAAGTTAGCTCCTTCAAGATACTATTTACTTAAAAAGAGTGTGATTTATATCATTGAACTGCACATTAGCTGCATTTCATTATATTTTTTGAATATACTGGAGTATTGAAAGTCTCACAGAACAAAGTGTAGAAAAGAGTAAAAATAACATTTGTAATCATAATGTAAGTTTAGTTTTTTTATTTACCACCAATAAAAAATGTATTGTGACAACCCTGAACTGAAATGCTAAGAAGAAATTTTCCGATGATGATGATGATTTTGGGGAGTTTCGGAATTCATTGTAAAAATAATAAATAAAAATGCTTATAAGTTTCACTCTAATCATAATGATCTATCATCTTGGGGTCTCCACCCTTATTTGTGTAAAAACAATAAGAGATGGGGGAAATCAGTGACGTGCGGTCAGGGGAGGCACGTGAGGCAGAGATTCACCTGTCATCATGGAAAAATAATATATAATAATAAAACTATTTATATTGCTATTTTCACCCTGTGGTTTTTACTATAAAGTATCTATTTTTTACTTAGCTTAACCAACTATGATGATTTTTTCTTCAAAATTGCTGGATTTTCGCATGTTCCCAT